TATCCCCTTTGGAAACCCTGGAGAGGGTCATTGGTTTTTGGGGGCATGTATGGGGCTGGGCTCCCCAAAAATGTTTCACATGGGGTTTCCCTAACCCTCAGGAAAAAGAAAACAGAGTGTTTGTTGGGGAAATTATTTCCCACATATCCCCCTTTGGCCCCATGCATGACCCAAAAAAGCACAAGGGACCCCCAAAAACCCTCTCAGAAAATTTTCTTCGAGTTTCTACTTTAAAAAAAAGGGATCATTTGGGAGGGTTTTTGTCCGGGCCCTGGCACCTCAAAAAATGTGATAGGCAGCCCAAAAGTAAAAGCTGGGGAAAATTTCCCAATAAATAAAACCATATTTGTAGACACAATAACTTTCACAAAAACCCATTATAACATGAAATTGGGGTTTTTTTTTTTTTTTTTTTTTTTCACCAAAGACATGTAGCAGAACGCTTTTTGGCCTAAATGTAAAAAAAAAAGGGTTGCGTTTATATAAAATTTTTATAACCGAAAAAAAAAAAAATATTGTGTTTTTTTCAAAATTTTCGGCTTTTTCCCCATTTATATCACAAAAAATAACCCCTTTGGGTTTTATCAAATACCAAAAAAAAGGGCTCTATTTTTTGGAAAAAAAAGGGGCCCATACTTTTCGTTTTGGGAAAAAGCATTCCCAAAGCCCCACCAATTCCCAAAGTTGAAAAAACGCATTTGCCAAAAAAAAAAAAAATAGCCGGGTAAATTAAGAAGTTAACCTTCCAGAGACAAAAGGTTAATGGAAGATCATGGGTGTTATTACAGAATAAGAATTCCAGTGTTTGACTCTGTACAGATGTTGAAATACTCTTGACTCTAAATTGTCACCTTGTTTCATCTTTTTTAGGTTAATGCTTTGGATAACTTGGGACATAGACATTGTCACCATCGAGCTGCTGATCTTGTGGGCCAGCCTACAAACCGAAACCTGCCCGGATTTTTATTTAGAACTCGGGTAGTGACCCGTCAATTGTATCGACTTCAGGGGTTTTTCACTGCTCTTTCAGATGGGGAATGAAAAGTATACACCCAGCTTCTTCAGGGTATGAATTGCATCAACATCAGGAATTCTATGTACAAAGTTGATTGTTTTTGGGAGAGTCACTATGTTTTCTTCAATTCCAAATGCGTTGCATTGTATGAACCCTTTATATGTCAACCCTTATATTTACCACGACGGTGCGATATACGGCTTGCTTAGCAACTTCTGAAAGCTGTATAACCGCCCGCAAGGTTGCTCGGATGCTGCAAAAAGCAGTGTGAGACCTAGAATATAGTCAATAGTGAGTTTGTCGGTTATAACAATTTTGTGGGTCCTATTAGCAGCCTTTTTTTTTTTTTTTTCCCCTCCATTAAACTTCCAGGCCATATGGGCTTCCACTTGTTTAAGTGCAGTGTGTACAGGCCCAGCTTTTTGTCGAAAACAGATTAAATCACTTTCTGCAAGTTTACATTGCTAGAATAATTTTCAGTTATCAATAGGGGGAGATATAAATAACAATTGTTGTGTACTGTCCCGCGTGACTACTTTTATTTTTTTTTTTATCGCATATACTCAATTGTGTTATCGTTCTCTTTCGCCAAAATGCGACTAATACGGGCTACAATCACCTCATGCAATAATGGGACTATATAAACAGTATCTTAATGAGTGCTGACTGTCACATTTTGCAGACACTAGTAGGATTCAGAATATAAACTCTCCAAGAGTAATGTTGAAGCTAATCTGATGCGGGCTCTAGTCCAGCACAGCACCCTCGTGATCTGTGCTTAACCTCCCAACTTTCTCTCCACCTTCATGTTACAGTGCTGGGTGCCTGAGCAGCCAGTGAGCAAGTGTTAGTGCTTTCATGTGAAAAAAAGAAAATGATTTACATGCTCCCAGAAAATTTGTATTTTCTTTGCTCATGCTAGCCATGTGAAGTGGCAAGGGAGCATAGGGAATTATTAGCTGCTGGTGGACTCATCATTTAAGTGAAAATGTAGATTTACCCTTCAAAGTAAGACCAGCAATCATATAATGCAGTATCTTCTACTTTTTTTTTTTACAAACTAACGCACCTGCTCTGTGCAGTGGTATTGCACATAGTGCCCCCGAACATCCCCTTCTCAGGTCCCCTGCCAGCACTCCTGGCTCCTCTCCTCGGCCTGCCACCATAAAAAATTGCTTCCTGTCATGGCACTCGTGGGGGGCTCAATCCCATGCCATCCTGCCTGTGTCTGCAGACAGTGGCTCAGCACCACCTCTCTCTCCCTCATCAGAGGTTTCAATTTACAGTAGGTCCCGCTGCTGTCAATTCTGCCTTGTGAGGAGAGAGAAATCCATTGCACTCAAGCACAGCGATTGATGGAGATCAGGCTCACGTAAGTATAAAGGGGGATCCTGGACACAGAAGGTTTTTTTTACTTTTTAATTCAGAGATTGCATTAAGGTTAAAAAAAAAACAAACAAAACCTTAAAGTGGTTGTAAACCCTTACAATATACCCAGTGAAGTGACTGGTAAAGCACAGAGATGAAACAAATCCTCCTAAATACGGTTTACCTGTTTTTTTTTCGTGGTCTCTCTTTTCTACAGCCATTAAAAGTCCAGAATTTAAAAAACTTGTCTGAGCCATCAGAAAAAGGGGGCGGGGAGCTGAAGTTACATTTTGCAGAGCTCAGTGAGGAGAGATCTGAGAGCTGATTGGAGGGAAGAGACACCTCCCTTTACACTGCACACAGGAACAGAGCTGAGGCTGTAAATCTGCTTGTCAGAAAGTGACTCAAGTAAATAGCAGAAGAATGAAGCGGCAAACAGAAATGACACTTAGTGCTCTGGATTGAGACTGTGGAGGGATATGATTTGTTCATCTTTCATTTCTGAGGTTTGCAACCATCTTAAGGCTTTGGAACCACTTTAATTCTTTGCATCCTCCTGGGTGGAAAAGATCATGAGGCATTATATATCTTCTGAAAGCAGATAGTAATATACAGTATGTCATTTCCAAGTTCTTACTTGCACTTGATCGTGCCATCTGAGAGTTGACAGTTGGCTTGTTTTACACATGTGTAACAGACGGGGATGTGTGTTTAACCAGTTTCCAACCGCACTATAGCCAAAAGACAGCTACAGTGTGGTCAGCTAGTTCTGAGAGGGCATACATATATGTCCTCCCAGAACTGCGCCCCCTGGAGCGCACATTGGGAGCGATCTGTGATCACTGAGTCTGTCGGGACACAACTGATCACAGATCCAGGCAAAGGGCCAATCAGAGTGGCCTTTTACCATGTCATCAGCAGTGTCCAATCACAGTGTAAATAGGAAATGCTGGTTATTGGCAGTCCTCTCATGCACGCTGTCAGTGCATGAGGTAGGAGATCTGGAAAGCAGCATTTCTTTCAGGGGACCTATACACTGATCATCAGTGCTGCCTATTGGTGCAGCCTAATCAGTGCAGCCTCATTAGCGCACATCAGTGAAGGAGAAAAATTACTTATTTACAAAACTTTATAACGGAAACTAAGGTTTTTTTTTTTTGTTTTGTTTTTTTTTTTTTCTTGCAAAATTTTTGGTCTTAGTCAAAAATGAAAACCCCATTGGTGAACAAATACCACCAAAAGAAAGCTCTATTTGTCTCAAAAAATAAAAAAAATTAGTTTGTGTAGTGTTGCATGACCACGCAATTGTCATTCAAAGTGCAACAGCGCTGAAGGCTGAAAATTGGCCTGGGCAGGAAGGGGGTAAAAGTGCCCGGTAGCCAAGTGGTTAAAAAAAAAAAAAAAAAAACTGCTGCAACCGACTTATGGCATACATTGATGGCCGTGAAAGAGTTAAAAGCGTTTGTTTTAATATTTACCATAAAATACTTTTTTTTTTTTTTCTACAGTTTGTTCATGCTAGTATTTTATTTGTAGATGCATAGATTCTTCCTTTTGTGGCTTTGTTTAATAAGTTCAGTCCACTGTACCAATGAACCGCTGCTGTGATAAAATACATTGGCTGTAAATTGTAATGTGTTTTTACATTGTCAATGCAAGTCAATAGTTCTATAGTAGACTAAGAAATACAATGTGACACAGGCACTGTACAGTATTGCTGAGCAGGAAGCACAGACTACAGGCATATTGTACATATAGAAATTCCTCCATGTAAGTGTAACATTGTAAACTACACATAATCAAGGTTTAGTGAAGTATTAACCCTCCTTGATAAAATGATTCCTGGTAAGCCAATCACAGCCAGAGTTTTATCTAACAACTTTAAAAAGACAGTTGACTTTTAAAATCTGACCTTTTTGATCTTTTCTCTTAGAGACTGTGCTGTCCACAAACTGTAAATTGTAGGGATATAGAAGGCCGTCAGTCCACACCCTTACATTTTGCAGCAGGGTACAATCGAGTCGCTGTGGTGGAATATCTGTTACAACATGGAGCAGATGTCCATGCTAAAGATAAAGGGTAAGCAGTTAATATTGTTAGAGAACCAGGACCACGCATATAATGATCATTTTTGTGTTGCTGTTAACTGTCAGTTCCAAAAATTATCTGCTAAATTAAATTTTATTATGTTTGCAATAGCAAATTCCCTCAGCAAAAAATAATTTTGTACAATAGTTAATAAAAAGAAAGTCTTACCGTCAGCTTAAATAATATATTTGTTGTTTTAGTGGCTTGGTTCCATTACACAATGCTTGTTCCTATGGACACTATGAAGTGACAGAGCTGCTTGTCAAGCATGGAGCGGTAATTAATGTAGCTGATTTATGGAAATTCACACCTTTACATGAAGCTGCAGCAAAAGGGAAATATGAAATTTGCAAGCTTCTCCTACAGGTATGGTCCTTACATTCAATGTCAAGTGCAAATGTTTGCTTTTTATTGGGTCACAATTTAGACCTTATGATAAGATAAATTGCATACTTGTGCTCAATGATGTCTGTTGTATATTCAGCACCAATTTTGTTCTTCAGACAAGTAATGCATGTTATAATTATCCCTGAAAAGGCAGAGTAACAGTAGTAAGTTACTGTAAAGAGACAAGACCTGCACTTTGTGATGGTGTAGAAACATTGCACTTGAATTAAAATTTGGAAGAGTTTCTTAACCATCTTCTGCCCACCCTATAGTACAATGACGGGCGCGGGGTGGTTCTCTCGTTCTGATAGGACGTCCTATGACGTCCTACCATTCTCACTGCGCATACGCGGCTCAGGGAGCGCGCAGCGCGGCGATTGCCTGTCCGCTGTGTCCCTCAGCGGATCACGGAAAGAGCCGAAGATGTCGGCTCGGTCATGTGATCAGCTGTGTCCAATTACAGCTGATCACATGTAAACACGGAAATGCCGGTTATCGGCATTTCTCTCCTCTCGAGCTGTCATGCTGATGAGAGGAGAGGAGAGCCAGTAATCTGCTTTCCGCAGAGGGGACATGTACACTGATCATCAGGGCACTGATGATCAGTGTGCCCTGATAATCAGTGCCACATCAATGCCACATATCAGTGCACATCAATGCCACATATCAGTGCCCATCTGAGCTGCCTTTCAATGTCATCCATCAGTGCCAGTCAGTGCCACCTATCAGTGTCCATCAGTGCAGCCTATTAGTGCCCATCACTGCAGCCTCATTAGCGCACATCAGTGAAGGAGAAAAATCACTTATTTACAAAATTGTATAACAAAAACAGAAAAACCTTTTTTTTTTTTTTTTTTCTTCCAAACTTTTCAGTGTTTTTTGGTTTGTTTAAGAAAAAATTAAAATCCCAGAGGTGATTAAATACCACCAAAAGAAAGCTCTATCTTTCTCAAAAAAATGATAAAAATTTCATATGGGTACAATGTTGCATGACCGTGCAATTGGTCTGGGCAGGAAGGGCACCTGTAGGCTAGTGGTTAAGTTAGAACTACTTTGCCTACAGCCACCCTTTCTTGCGTATTTTAACCACTTGCCTTCCAGAGGATTTACCCCCCTTCCTGACCAGGCTATTTTTTGCGATACGGCGCTGTGTTAATTTAATTGACAATTGTACGGATATGCAATGCTGCACCCAAATGAAATTTATGTCCTTTTTTTCCCGCAAATAGAGCTTTCTTTTGGTGGTATTTGATCACCTCTGCGTTTTATTTGAAAAAAAAAAAAAGACTGCCAATTTTGAGGAAAATATTTTTGACTTTTTGCTATTAAACATATCCAGTAAAAAAAAAAATTAAAAATCAAATTTCGTCATAAATTTAGGCCAAAATGTATTCTATGTATTTGCTAAAAAAAAAAAAAAAATCTCTATGTGTAAATTGGTTTACGTGAAAGTTATAGCGTCTACAAATGGGGGTATAGATACTGAAATTTTTTTTTTTTTAAATATGTATATACTAGTAATGGCATCGATCAGCAACTTATAGCGGGACTGCTTCGGGCATTCTGACACTGGGGGGAACTGACTGTCACTGACATCCCCAGTGACAACAGTACAGTGATCTGTGCTAATAAAAAGTACGGACAATGTACTAATGACACTGGGCAGGAAGGGGTTAACATCTGGGGCAATCAAAGAGTTATCTGTGCTGTTATACTGTGTGTTCTTTACACTGTAAGTACACTGCTTTATATGAGCCGTACAAAGCAGTGTGATGGAGCTGACGGGAGAGATCTGTATTGTTTACATACAGGTCTCTCCCCCATCAGTGATACATGGTGATCGGCAGGGACCCGGTGATCGACAGGTGAGGCCGCCAATGGCAGGGAGGATAGGTGCGTGGCCCCTACCCAGAAATGCAAAATCATGTATAGTGTGTGTGTGCATATATAAATATATATTTATATTATCTCTCAAAAGTGAATACACCCCTCACATTTTTTTAATTTTATCTTTGTGTGTGTGTGTGTGTATGTATGTATGTGTGTGTGTGTGTGTGTGTGTGTGTGTGTGTGTGTGTATGTATGTATGTAATTTTGCACACCCCTCCTGCCATTTAGCAGTATTTCTGCTATAGGCTGGCGGGAAGGCGGGTAACCCTCTGTCCTATAGTAGAAATACTGCTGCAGGGTTGCGCAAAATCACGTGTGTGTGTGTGTACATATACCTGATAAGCATTTCTGAGTAGCATTTACCCACGCCACTATTGGTAGCTAGAGATGTCAATCTTCGGATCCCGGTCAGCTATTTCTGTCTGGCACTTGGCGATCATCAGGGAAAGCTGACAGGGGAGAGACCTGTGTGTAGAGCTACAAAACAGCATGTCTCCCTAGTAAAACACAGCACACAATTAACCCTTTGATCACCCCAGATGTTAACCCCTTCCTGCCCAATGTTATTAGTATAGTGTTAGTGCTTTTTATTAGTACTGATCACTGTATTAGTGTCACTGGGGATGTAAGTAGCAGTTAGTTCCCTCCCAGTTTCAGAATGTGTGCCGCAGTCCTGCTATAAGTTGCTGATTTCCGCAATTACTAGTATAAAAAAATTAAAATATCTTCAATTTTGTAGCAGACATGTAGCAGAATACATTTTGGCCTGAATTTATAAAGAAATTTTGATTGTTAAAAAAAAAAAATTATTGGATATGTTTTATAGCAAAAACTAAAATAATTTATTTTTTTCAAAATTGTCGGGTTTTTTTTTTTGTTTTTTTTTGTTTGTTTTATAGCGCAAAAAATTAAAACCGCAGAGGTGATCAGATACCACTGAAAGAAAGCTCTATTTGTGGGGAAAAAAGGACCTAAATTTAATTTATGTACAGCGTCTGTGGGAGCCTCAATTACATTTTTGTCAAAAGGAAATGATGAGCACTATGGTTTACCTCCTCATCCTTGTGAGTTTCAAAAGCATCATGCAGACTTTGAGTCCCAACATTGAACAGTGACAGTACTGTTATAGTATATTTCCTGTTAAGAGAATGACCCACCTAGAAATGGCATTTATCCAGAAAATTTCTCTGGTTAGGCATAGTTGCATATTTTTTTCAGGTGCATATCTTTCAGGACAGATTTTTTTAGCTGCTGGTCTTGCTGCTGGCTGCACAGAAACTAATCTGTCCTGTATCTTAACAAATCATTGTGTCCTTTCAGTCACAGTCTGCAAGTCAACTCCTGATGGCTTTCTTCTGTGCTGCTGAAATATCTGCACCCAACCACCACTAGAGGAAGCTTTCAGCCAGGAAATAAAACTTAATTTGTCTACACGATGTGACGCTGGGAATAGGCTGATTTGTTGGTTTTGTGTAAGCTGGGGGAGCAAGAACAGAAAGGGCAGTTATCTTTTTGTTTTCATTCAAATACAATGTACTTCACAGCTGCTAAATAAAGTATATAGCGTAGGAGTAGCATTGTATGACTCTGTAAATCTCTGACAGACTATTAGTCCCCAAGGACAAGGGTTGTAAAATACTGCTCAACTGGCCTTATTTTTTCAAGTAAATCACTATTGTTTCCCTAAGTGTTAAATTATTTTATTATATAACAGCATGGAGCTGATTCAACGAAAAAGAATAGAGATGGAAATACACCTTTGGACCTGGTTAAAGAAGGAGATACAGACATTCAGGATCTCCTCCGTGGGGATGCAGCCTTATTGGATGCTGCCAAGAGAGGCTGTGTAGCTCGAGTGAAAAAAATCTGCACGGTGGAAAATGTCAATTGTAGAGATACACAAGGCAGACATTCTACCCCGTTACATTTAGCAGGTGAGTGTGGTGCTAATTGTCACAGGTTTGTTTTGCAGCAGTTAACAGTAGTTTTTTGCAGTGAGTTCAAAAAGCAAATTACTATTTCTTAAATGCAAAAACCTATAGCAGCTGTTCAAAATTCTCATTGTACTTGTGTTTAGCAGAATTATTTCAGATTAGTTTTAAAGGTTATGGCACATATAAATGACCTTTGTTTATGCTTTAAAATTTAAAAAAAAAAAAACATTTTAAAGAAGTCAGAAATGTCTGTAGAACTTTTTCATGACCAGAGGTGCTTTGTGCTTTCATGACTGGTGTCTGTTGTTTAAATTCTTTAAGTGATTGTGTTTACTTCCAAAGAATAAGGGTGTGTTAATTATCTTTTATTATGTATTGTAGATTACTGGCTCTTTAGTTATTCAAGTAATTTGATTTGTATTAGAAATACTTGCAGGAATACCCGTATAGGCATAAAACCTCTTTGCTCAACTAAGCCTCCGTTTTTTTTAGCTAGTGTCCTTTATATAAAGGATGTCCCTTCCTGTGTCCCTTGAAAATCTTTAGTGGCCTTTAATTACCGTATTTTTCGCTCCAAAGACGCACTTTTTTCCCCCAAAAAAAGGGGGGAAAATGTCAATGCGTCTTATGGAGCGAATATGGAGCGGCCGGTCCGGTATTTCCACTGCCGCCGTGTCAGAATACCGGGCCGGGCAGGGCCGTCAGCTCTACAGCGGGACCTTATAGAGATGACTGCCTTTGGGGGAGGGAGGGGGAGCGGGTACCTGAATTTGACAGGTACCCGCTCCCACTTCCGTGGAGTTGTTCTTTCATCTTACCCGTTCCTCTATCCAGCGGCGCGGTCTTCCCGGTTCTGTAGTGTGTGCATGACAGCCGGGTGCCAAGTGCGCATGCTCAAGAAGCGGTGCTTTTTGTGAATGGTAAGGCGGCACCTGGGACACATGACAGATCCCAGAAGCCGCCGGACCAATCACAAAGCGCAAGTGCTTCTTGCTCATGCGCACTGGGCACCCGGCTGTCATGCCGAGCGCCATTACAGAAGCCGGGACAGACAGCGCGCGGCTGGATAGAGGAACAGGTAAGATGAAAGAACAACTCCGCGGAAGTGGGAGCGGGTACCTGTCAAATTCAGGTACCCGCCCCCCCTCCCCAAAGGTCAGCAGTCATCCCCTGTGCTGTCCGCAGTCTCTGGTCATCCCTGTGCTGTCCGCAGTCTCTGGTCATCCCTGTGCTGTCCGCAGTCTCTGGTCATCCCCTGTACTGTCCGCAGTCTCAGGTCATCTCCTGCACTGTCCGCAGTCTCTGGTCATCCCCTGTACTGTCCGCAGTCTCAGGTCATCTCCTCACTGTCCGCAGTCTCTGGTCATCCCCTGCACTGTCTGCAGTCTCTGGTCATCCCTGTACTGTCCGCAGTCTCTGGTCATCCCTGTGCTGTCCGCAGTCTCTGGTCATCTCTGTGCTGTCCGCAGTCTCTGGTCATCCCTGTACTGTGTCCGCAGTCTCTGGTCATCCCTGTACTGTGTCCACAGTCTCTGGTCATCCCCTGTACTGTGTCTGCAGTCTCTGGTCATCCCCTGTACTGTGTCCGCAGTCTCTGGTCATCTCCTGTACTATGTCCGCAGTCTCTGGTCATCTCCTGTACTGTGTCCGCAGTCTCTGGTCATCTGTACTATGTCCGCAGTCTCTGACTGTCTCTCTAGTTTGTCTGTAGTCTCTGGTCATCTCCTGTACTGTGTCCGCAGTCTCTGGTCATCTCCTGTACTATGTCTGCAGTCTCTGGTCATCTCCTGTACTGTGTCCGCAGTCTCTGGTCATCTCCTGTACTATGTCTGCAGTCCATTAGTTCAGAATTTTTTTTTTCCTGTTTTCTGCCTCTAAAACCTCGTCTTATGGTCAGGTGCGTCTTATGGAGCGAAAAATACGGTATTATAGATCCTACCCTGTTTCTAAATCCAGTATGCAATAAGTCCCTGTGGGCAGCAGGACAAGAGGGGACTGTACTTGGACCTTGCTGTAGTGGAGCCTGTAATGCTGCTGGTTGGCACTGGATCCTGCTGTCTGTGATATTTTGGGTACAATGTACCAGGGGAACTCGCTAGCAGTGTGCTCTACATGTCCAGGGCAGCGATCACCTAGGGGGAGTGGTATCCCTGAAATCATTGCAGGGCAGGGTGCACTTGTTTTGGTAGGTGAAGATTGGCCTGTTTTCCCTGCTCCATGGACTTGTGAGTACCTTTGGGCTATGTGAAACTGGTTGCAGTCTTTCCCTCGTGAGTGTCCTCTTGCAAATGAGCTGGCTGTTTGCATTTTGCACTGTTTCTATGGAGTGCTCCACTGCGGTAGTGGTGCTCAAAAGGGTGGGGTCAGCAGTGCACATGTGCAAGGATGTCCTCCTACTGCACATGTGCAGATCCAATTTTTTCAGTTTCCTTGGATAGACAGCAGGTATTGCAGCTTCATACAGTCAGCAATACAGCCCTTGCACAGCATAGTTCCACTGGTGACACATGATCAGAGGGCTTGATTACAACCCCACCCCACCCTTTTTTTTTTTTTTTGACTTGTGTATACTCTCCACTCAGCTGGGTGGTCTCTCCCTGCAGAGTTTATAGACCTACATACCCTCGGCAAGCTGTGAACTTGGGCAGGCATATGGTTGGGGGGTTGAGAGGATGATATTTTAGGCTTCCAAATCCGTCTGTCAGGAGGTTAGGGTCAGATTAGCGGATTACCTATCCTTATTTGGTATTTCATTTATCGCAATGCAAAATGTTCGTTTGTGTCAAGGGAGGTATTTTCTGCAGCCATATCTAGGTTGTATGGTAAGCTCTAAAGGGTTTTCACTGGCTTGGGGTGCAAACATAGGTGCTCTCCTTACCCCCACCTCTTTTAAAGGAAAAAAGAAGTACAACCAAAGTTCTTTTGGCTGTACTTGTCCTGTGGATCACAGGAGGGCAGAACATTCTGCACTCCTGTGACCCGGTTTCAGCTGACAGCAGGCTGAAGCCTGCTGTCGGTTGGTGTTACTCAGCCGGTCCAGGCTGGTGAAAGATCCTGACTTTAAAGTCGGAATCCACCCAGAGTCGGGAATGGCATCTGGCTCCGCCTCTCAGCGAGCCACTGACAACCTGAGTGCCGGTTCACATATATGCAGATTGGATGCGGTTTGATGCGCATGCAGTCCACATGACATGAAAAAAACATTGCTTTTCCAATCATCTTCCAGGACAGCTTCACATGAGAGATAGGCTCCTCCCACCAGGAAACACCCGATCTACTTTTTTTCCCATAAGTAGCCTCTCTCCACAGGGGTCCCTCAGTATTAGTGTTTCCTCTGGCAGGAACGACTCCCGTTTATTTATTTTTTTTATGGCTGTCTGGTGGGGTGCAGAGGCCTCCAGGATGAGGCTACCCCTCTCTCTTCAGCAAGGCAGGGGCCTTGCGGGGTGACCTCACTCAGGGTTCCCTTTGGCTTGGGGGAGGCAGCACCCCCTCCTATGGTCCTGCGGGTTCACCAGGGGGGCTAGAGCCCGCTCTGCCGACCTATCGGGTAAGGGACCGCTACCCTGTGGGGCTAACCCTACCTTTCCTCCACTGCATGCCATCTCCGACTGGAGGCGCGGGTCGATGACGTCACTCCTGAGCGCCGGGACTCGCGAACATCACTTCTTCTGGTGCCTGAGGAACAGGAAGCGTACCGCCAACATTTTGGTTATGGGCGGCGATCCGTATGCTTGCCCCATGCTGCGGCCACCCCATCTACTGCAGCCGTGAGGGGAGGTCTGTGCAACTGGTTCCTTTTTTCAGTAGAAGATATAGAAGGCCTCTTGAAGGTAATCTACGGTACTCTAGACTTAGAAGAGGAACAACCGGATCTCTATGCACGACCAGCTATATGCGGGGCTACAAAAGAGAAGCGGCCGCACATTCCTGGTCCATTCCACCTTATGGCCTACCGTAAAAAGGGAATGAGAAGAGCCGGAAAGGAAAACCTTTTTTCTAAATACCTTAAAAGGTGATTTCCGTTTGAGGAAGATGCGTCTATGTGGGAGTCTTGCCCGAAACCAGATGCTCCCCTTCCGAAGATTTCAAATCCACGGATTTATCTTTCAAAGACGGAGGTTCCCTAAAGAACCCAAAGGATCGCAAGGCCGACACTTTTCTCCACAGAGCGTGGGAAGCGTCCGCAGTAAACGTTAAACCAGCAATAGCAACAACCTGCATTTCCAGAACCCGAGACATATGGCTGGGCCAGCTCCGCTCTCACCTTGAACAAGGCACACCGGCTGAGGAAATTCTTAAATCGCTACCGGCCTTGGACTTTACCCCTGGTCCACATATATGCGGGCCGCCTTTTGCACGGGCACGAGAGCCCATTTATTTGAATAGACTCCCGCGCCCATGACACGCAGGGAAGAAGTCCCTGCACTTTGGAAAACGCAGTCTGCACGGGAACCTCGGTTCTCAGTACGGTTGCATTTTCCAGTGCGGTCGGCGTGCCATTAGAATTAATGGCACCTGCCCGAGGGTCTGCATTTCTCTGTGCAGGTGGTGCGGCTGCACGGATTTTCATGCGGATCCGCAGCGGCACCACCCGCATAGATGTGAACCTAGGATTCTTGCAGATGCATTGGCTGAAACCATCAAATATACAGCAAAATCAACTGTGCTCATAAACTCAGCCTGAAGAGCTATTTAGTTGAAAACCTGGCAGGGGTATATCGCCTCCAAATCTAGGCTCTGCGGTCTGCCCTTTGAGGGAAAGCTCCTCTTTGGGCCAGAAGTGACTTCGGTCCTCGAGAGGTCTGTCGACAAAAGGAAAGGTTTTCCAGTCCCCAGCAGGCAAGCGGGATGGAAATGTTTTCGTCCCAACAGGCAGCACGCAAAGAGAGAGGCCAGTTTTCAGAGACAGAAGAAAGTCTGGGTCTCAAAAAGAGGAAAGGAGAAGGGAGACTTTCTCTTCAACCCTAATCAGGACAAAACCAAAAACTCAGTCCAAGTGACTGGCGGATCCAGGTGGGAGGAAGACTGGTACACTTCCACACGAAATGGCTACAGACCACCCAGAATGCATTCATCTTAGATACAATTCGAAACTGCTACAGGATAGAATTTTCACAACTCCCCCCTCACAGGTTCTTTTCGACTCCACTGCCAAGGGAGGAGGGAAAGGCAGACGAACTCGTGAACCTCCTGGAAGAAATGCTCAAATGTCAGTCAGCTGGAGGAAGAAGAGATTAGAAGAGGATTCTACTTTCCGTTTTTTTTCTAAGAAGGAAGACGTCTGGGAAATAGAAAATGATGCTCAACCCACAGAAAGTGAACAAATTTGTAAGACCCAAAAAATTCCACATGGAGACGATCTACACGACGAAAGAAATCCTCTCGCCCGGAGTATTCATGGCATCAATAGATTTAAAGGATGCATACCTTCACATCCCGATAAGGGAGGAGTCAAGAAAGTTCCTAAGGTTCACGCTAAAGGGCAAGAACAGAACGATCTTGTTCCAATTCAATGCACTCCCTTTTGGTCTGTCTTCAGCACCAAGGATATTTAAAAAAATTCTAGTGGAACCTCTGCAAGCCTTGAGGCTAGAAGGGATAAACGTTATCCCCTACTTGGACAACCTACTGTTGTTTGCGAACACGGAAAGCGCTCTGAAATGCCACGTGGAGCAACCAGTATCCTTCTTGGAAAACCTAGGATGGCTAATAAATACAGAGAAATCACAGTTAGTCCCTTCCAACAGAATCACATATTTGGGATATATTCTGGATTCCACAAACACCTGCTTATACCTGACTCCAGAAAAAGCACTCCGACTACAAGAAGACATGAGTAGCCTCCGGGGGACAGTAACTTGCACAATCAGAAACGCCATAAAGCTCATCGCCACATGCCAGCAGCCATACCGGGGGTACAATGGGCGCAACTACTCTCCAGAATGATACATAATCACGTCCTCTCCCACTGGGATGGCAGCCAAGCATCTCTGGATTCCAGAATTCGCTTCACGCACAAAGTGAGCGAGTCATTGGAGTAGTCGGGAAACATCTACACGCTGGAAGCAGGGAGAAGATGGATCCAACCCAACAAAAATCACCACAGACGCAAGCATACAGGGGTGGGGTGCACACTTGGAGGGTCGCCTGACCCAGGGCAAGTGGGACCCTGAAACCGCCAAAAGGTCATCAAACTTCAGGGAATTACTGGCAGTTTTCAGTGCGCTTACTTCCTTTCAGGAGAAAATAGATGGGAAAGCGATTCAGATCCTATCAGACAACATAGCAGCCGTCGCATACTTGAACAGGCAAGGAGGCACAAGGTCCCCAAAACTAATGGAACTGGTGGGAAACCCTCCTGAGCTGGGCAGAAAGAAACCTAAAATCTATCACGGCGGTCCATCTGAAGGGAGACCTAAATCTGCTAGCAGACCAGCTGAGCCGAGAGGAAAGCAACCAGTCAGAATGGTGCCTCATCCACAGTGTTTGCCCAAATCTGCAGCAGATGGGGCACTCCCTCCATAGATCTCTTTGCCAGCAGAAGGAGTGCAAAACTAGGAAAGTACTTCTGCCTTCAAAGAGACCCCCAGAGTGTGGGGGCAGATGCACTGGCCCAGCCATGGGAGGGGGACCTCCTTTATGCTTTTCCACCATTGACTACTACTAAGAGTGGTACAAAACATAGTCGTCACAGGCCAGAGTCCTCCTGATCGCTCCGTTCTGGCCCAAAAGGTCATGGTTCTCCTTCCTGAAGAAACTGAGCCTAATGGACCTGTGGACGATACCACCCACAAATGACCTACTAGTGCAGGGGGCAGTAGTACACCCGCACCCAGAAAAGCTGTCCCTGATAGCATGGCTTCTGAGCCGAGCAGGCTAGCTAAAAAAAAGGCTTATCAGAGAGGTGGTCGCCACCATTTTGCACTGGCGGAAAAAGTCTACAAATGCCATTTATGACAAAATCTGGAGGAAGTTTTCCTTTTGGAGGAATAGGAATAAGTCGCCTGGAGCTCCTATCCTAAATGCAGTACTCAAATTCCTTCAAGCCAGGGCAGACAAGAACTTAGCCGCCAATACACTCAAAGTGCAAGTAGCTGCTCTGTCTAACTTCCTGGAGCTGAAGTTAGCGGAGGATCCCCTGGTGGTCAGATTCCTTAGGGCTATCTCCAGCGCCGAGTCCCGTGAGTGCCAAAATACCCTCTCTAGGATCTAGGCACAGTTTTAAAACATTTCCAACAGGAGCCATTCGAGCCCTTGGGAAAATTTCTCTCTCAGGCACTTAACCCTCAAAACCTCCCTCTTGATAGCTCTAGTCTCCGCTCGCAGAGTCAGCCTCAGGCCGCACCGCACATGTGTGAATTAGCTCTAAATCAACAACTCCCTCCCCCTCCACAACCAGAGCAGCTGTGAGAACTCTGTGATCAGTGGTCATGTGATAGCCGAGTTCTCACACTTAGAGTTGGCGGGGGACAGATGCAGCATCAGATCGATGCTGCATCTACCTAGGTAAGTATAATTGGGGGGGGGGGGGGGCCACACTTCTCTTTTAAGGTAATGCTTTTGGAGAAAGTCTCATGCTGAGGAAGCTGTTGAGGATCAGGAATCCATTGTGCATGAGCCCTCTGAGAAAAAACTCTCCCCCAGGAGTTTTGCCCATGTCATTCATCACTACAAACAGTTAAAATAGCTGTATGCAAATGTCATCTTACTTGTTCAGTTTGCTTGTAATCTGTCCCGTTGCTTTTGCTGACTTCACCGACGCATGCACATCTTTAACTCTATTCACGGCACGCTCTTTGTGCTGTCAGTCCATAGAGATGTATGCCGCGTGCGTCATATTCGCTATGTGCGGTACAGCGCCAAGATCCCGCGATATTACAGCTCATTTACACATTCAGCATTTCCTGATACATTGCATGTGACCCTACACGTCATGGGGGTTCAAACATCAGGACATCATGGCACACTGCAACGGGGCGTAGTTGCCATAGTGATCCCAGAACTAGAACGAGGCTTGCCTAATAACCCAATATGCATGCGCAAGATTACAGCTCGGACTAGCAGAAGGGGCAGAAGTAAATTGCAAGGTGGACTCAGAAGACAATAGCTATAATGGCGCTGGCATATCCTGGCAAACAACTGCAAAACAGTAAGAAACAAACAATTGGGGTTTTTAATGCAGAATGTGTTGGAATACATTGCTATGCTAGTTTATTTTTTAAAATAAAAACTGCTTTTTAGGGGAAGAGTTTACTACTGCTTTAAAAAAATTGGACAGGTTTGTGTCCAAAACCTGCCTGAGGGTTTCCCCCAAAGGGATACTCAGGCATATTGCAGTGAATGCCCTTGTGATTTCCTTGGAATCAATTTAACCTGATCTATTCCTTCACTCCACTCCAGCTGCTTCCTTGCCTGTTGCTCAGAGTAAAGGCGCGGAGGGCATGCTGGTAATACTGACTGCATTGGTTTGGCAAAGCAAAATGTGGTATTCAGGAATCTCAAATCTCTTAGAAGGTGAGCTATGTGCTCTTCCAGATTTGTTGTAGCAGGGCCCAATTTTCATCCTTCTTACAGTCACTGGTTTTGACATGGCTGTTGAAGCCCAAGTCCTGAGCGATAGGGATGTTTCTAGTTCTTTATTTCCTGCTGTCCTCAAGGCAAGAAAGTAGTCTTCAAGGATGGTGTACCATTGTACATGGAAAGTCTATTTCACCTGATGTGAGGCTTGTACGTTTTATGCCTAACAGTTTGTTGTTCGGCACTTTTTTGCTTTTCTCCAGTATGGTGCGGAGAAGTCTCTGGCCTATAGTACCGTCATGGGACAGATATTGGTCTTGGCCATTTGTGTTTCAAGAGACCTTTTGCATTTCATTACTTGGTAAAAGCCTTTGTGCAAGGTGTCACATGTACTGCCCCCTTTGTCTCTGTGGGACTTTAACTTGGAGTTGTCTGTTTTGTAATCTTCTCCTTTGAATCTCTCAGATTCCCTTGTGACTCTTTACATGAAAGGTGGTCTTTTTGGTGGTCATTAGGTTGGCAGCACTTTTCTGAAAATCTTTTCTGGTTCTTTACCAGGATAAGGTAGTGTTGAGGCCTTGGTCCTCTTTCTCATGTAAGATGTTGCTATCCTTTTTGTCCTAATCTTAAGCATCCTAAAGTTAAGGTACTTCTTTCTTTTGGATGTTTGAGTTATTCAAGTTCTTCTGAAGTCTCCAGCTTCATCTTGACAGTCTGATGCTATGGTGGCAAGGTGTCTCCTTTCCCTGACAAGGTCTATTCAACCAGGCTCTCATTGCTTGCTGTATAACTGAGACTTAGTTGAGCTGGGGGGAGTTATGCCCGGACAGGAATTACGGGGGGGGGGGTTTGGCCAAAAGGTAGCAGCATAACCCAGAATATGAACTGTCTTGTAATGTTCTCCAAGAAAAGATTTTAAAGGTAAACAAAATTCATAATCTTCCCTGGGGTTGCAGCATGGACTAAAGTGGCAGACATGAGCAAGGAAGTATGTAAATGCATTAAAAGGGTGTCTTATAAGCACTGGAGGATTAGTCTTATTTTAATACTGACTTTTTTTTTTTCTTTTCGTTAACCATTGAAAGTTTTGGGAAGCCGCATCACACATACCTTTGGAAACTGTATGCTTAAAATGATTCCTGTACAATTTTGTTTTTTTTTTCAGCTGGCTACAACAACTTGGAAGTTGCAGAGTACCTGTTACAACACGGTGCTGATGTGAATACACAAGACAAAGGGGGACTTATTCCATTGCACAATGCAGCATCATATGGGGTAAATTTCTCTTTTTCTCAAACTTGAATGACTATTTTTGTCATTCTGAAAGGTCCATAATATTCATGGTCTACCACCTAGCAGTATGACTCAAGCATTGTCATATTATACACCACTTATAAGGCATGCTAAACCTATGGTGTGTTTGGTCACACAACAGGAACCCTATTGGTAGAAAATGTAAGTATCCCAAGGAGAAAAAAAAAAAACATACTCCATGGAGACAGTCCTGGGAGTGGATTTAAAACAAATGCTGGGAGGAAGATTTTATTGCAGAAGAAACACAATTTTGGTGTGTTCACTAAGCAGTAGGGCAGCCGCTCTTCACAGGACCTGGAAGCTCGTGGATATCACTGTCTTAGTGGTGCCTACTGTAATGATTTTTCTGCTTCCAGAGGTATGGTACATAGGCATTAGTCCAAGCGTGACCAATATAACTGTAAATATTGCCATTACTGGCAATATTTTTAACTGTGTAGTGTTGAATAAGTTTTGGTCTGTTTACATTCACATAAAGCAGCACCTCTTTCTCCACCAGTTTAAAAAAAAAAAAAAAAAAAAAAATCTATCACTCATACAAGCTTTCCAGTGGCCTTGTCTTTCAGTGCACACTTTAACTGAAGAGCAAGGCAGTGTCATCTCTGGCAGCACTTGGAATAATAGGAAAGGAGCGCCCGATATCCAAAAGAACACACTTTTGCTGGTACATTAACAGGCATTTATTGAGCATAAGTACATCAAACCAATGTGTTTTGGGAGGAAAAACTCCCTTCTTCAGGGCTATTGAACGAGTCCAAAAAATATACAGAAAAACAAATCCATGAGAACAAAAGTGTATATGTACAGTTAGGTCCATATATATTGGACACAGGCACAATTTTAGTTTTTTTTTTCAGGTATTTGCCAAAACATATTCAAACTATAGTTATATAATGGAGATGGGCTAAAAGTGTACACTCAGGTTTAAATTAAGGGTATGTACATCAAAATGCTTATTATACAAGATTTATATAGCGCCAACAGTTTGCGCAGCGTTTACGAAATGAAAGTAGACATTACATTTACAATGCAATTTAGTACAAGAGGAAACAGAGGGCCCTGCTCGTTAGAGCTTACAATCTAGGAGAAATTGGAGGAAGGCTTTAGGAATTACAGCTCTTAATAGTAGCCATCCCCCCTTTTTCAAGGGACCAAAAGTAATTGGACAATCGAATCAAAAGCGGTTTCATGGCCAGGTGTGGGCTACTGCATTATTTCTTCATTAATTAAGCAGGTAAAAGTTCTGGAGTTGATTATAAGTGTGATATTTGCATTTGGAATCTATTGCTGTGAACCTACATCGTGTTCAAAGGATGCAAGTGAAACGGGCCATTGTAAGCTTTCAAAAATGAAATAAATCCATCAGAGAGATAGCAGCAACATTAGGAGTAGCCAAATCAACAGTTTGGTACATTCTGAGGAAAGAAAAACGCACTGGTGAGCTCAGCAACATTAAAAGGCATGGACGTCCATGGAAGACAACAGTGGTGGATGATCGCAGGATTCTTTCTATGGTAAAGAAATACCAATTTACAACATCCAGACAAGTGCAGGACACTCTCCTGGAGGTGGGCGTATCATTGTCAAAGTCTACAATCAAGAGGAGACTTCATGAGAGCAAATACAGAGAGTTCACCACAAGGAAAAGCATTCTTTGGACGGATGAAACGAAGATTAATCTGTACCTGAATGACGGGAAGAAAAGTGTGGAGAAGGCTTGGAACAGCTCATGATCCAAAGCACACAACATCTGTAAAACATGGTGGAGGCAGTGTGATGACATGAGCATGCATGGCTTCCAGTGGTACTGGGTCATTGGTGTTTATTGATGTGACAGAAGCAGCCAGATGAATTCTGCAGTAAAATGGGTAGTAGGGTGCGTCGGTGGAGGATGCTGTGGAGGAATGGCAGCCAGTGATGGATGATGTTTGAGAAAACCGGTACTGAGCAGCACTTCCAAAGAGTGGAAGCAAACTCTGTGCAGAAGAAGATGAAACAGGAAGGCGTCTCTAAGTGCAGTATTCCAAGATCAACTTTTAATAAAAGCGGTTAAAAATACTTTCAGTGTAGTAGTACAAACCGTCTCTAATGTAATCTGTCAATAGTGGGGCTCTGTCCTCTAAGCAGTGGGGCAGCTGTGCAAGCCAGCAGGTGCAGGGGGAGCTTGAGAAGAGGTGTTAAAGATGGCTGCAGCTCTATCCGGACTGCTGGAACGCACACCATCCAAGGACCGGAAGTAAGGTGAAAATGGAGCGTTGACGCGTTTGGGAGCATGCGCAGAGCTTCTTCAAGACGATGTCCAGGCTAAGGGAGAGCCAATTAAATAGGCTGAAGGGGTGGTCACTGAGAAGGAAGGTACATGCCTCCCAAAGACCAACCGTGATATGGATACGGAGTGGTTTGTATGACGTGACACTATGGAAAACTGGGGAAGGTGGAAAAGCGAGAAGCATAAAAAGAAAACTAAACAAAGTGAAGGCAAAAACGGGACTGTTTGTAAGGGCTGAGTGGGGGTGTGTAACATATTAAAAAGATGAGGTGTGAACATTGTGTGAAAAGATCTATAAAAAATGTATAAAGAAAAAAAAAATAATATAATTATTAAGAGCTTAAATTTATTTTTATTGTTATCTAATATGTCCCAGGTTACCTATATGTATCATTTGTCATATCCCAGCAGCAATCTGTCTGCACACTGTCATCCTCCTTCCCAGCTCTTAATTATAATTTATATTTATAGTTTTAGTTTTTTTCTTTATACATTTTTTTATATATCTTTTAATGCAATGTTCACATCCCATCTTTTTAATGTTACACACCCATACTCAGCCTTTACAAACCTAGTTCCGTTTTTGCCTTCATTTTGTTTTAATTTTTGTTTCTTGTTTTTCCACCTTTCCCAGTTTCCCGTCGTTTCACTCCATACAGTGCGCTCCGTATCCATATAACGCTTGGTCTTTGGGAGGCGTGTACCTTCCTTCCCACTGACTGCCCCTTTACCCTATTTAATTGACTCTCCCTTATCCTGGACATCGGTCTTGAAGAAGGAGCTCTGCGCATGCTTTGAAACACGTCACCGCTCCATGCTCACATCACTTACGGTCCTTGGATAGGGTGTGTTCCAGCGTGCGCTCCAGCGGTCCAGATAGAGCTGCGGCCATCTTGAACACCTCTTCTCAATCTACCCCTGCAGCTGCTGGCTGGCACAGTGGCTCTATTGGATGAATTCTGCAGTGCTTAGAGACATACTGTCAGCCCCGATTCAGCCAAATGCAGCAAAGTTGATTGGACGGCGCTTCACAGTACAGATCAACAATGATACAAAACCCGCTGCAAAAAGCAACCCAGGAGCTTTTGAAGGAAAATAAGTGGAATATTCTGCAATGGTCGAGTCAGTCACCAGATCTCAACCCAATTGAGCATACATTTCACTTGCTGAAGGCAAAACTAAAGGAAGAAAGACCCACAAAGAACAACTGAAGACAGCTGCAGTTAGAGCCTGGCAAAGCATCAGAACGGTGGAAACCCAGTCTTTGGTAATATCCATGGGTTCCAGACTGCAGGCAGTCATTACCAGTTAACCGCTTCAAGTCCAGACACTTTCACCCCCTTCCAGTCCAGGCCAATTTTCAGCTTTCAGCGCTATCACATTTTGAATGACAATTGCATGTTCATGTTACTGTTTAAATATGAATTTTTTTAGCATTTTTTTGAGACGGATAAAATTTTATTTTGGTGGTATTTATTCACCACTGGGATTTTTTTTTTTTTTTTTTTTTTGCTAAATGAAAAAGACCAACAATTTTGGCCAAAATGTATTCAGCTATTTTGGTAAAAAAAATAAAAAAAATAACCCAAATTAGTTTATAAAAAAAAAAAATAAATAAGTTTTTACATTTTTACTTTAATTTTTTTTTATTTATGTATTTTTTTACATACTGTCACCCTAGCAGTACAGTGTGTCACCATAGGGACACTGTACTACTTGTGGGGGGTGATGAATTTTTTTTTTTCCCACACCGATTGCTTTTACACCCATAAAGGCTGTAAAAGCAATAATTTCTATTTCTTTCTGGCTGCATTCCTTCAGCCATTGAGAAATCCTGTGAGAGCTGTGATTGGTCACAGCTTGTTACATGGTACAAGGCTGTTGTGAATAGCCTTGTACCATGTGACCTCTGATCATTCACAGATTTCACAAGTAGTAAACGATGTCAGGAAGTGACAGCTTGTTTTCTACTGTTCATGTGGTCACTGATTGACCAATCAGGGATCACATGAATCGGGGCCTCACACAGAGGTCCTGTACAGCCATCTGTGTTCCGCTGTGTCCGGCAGACACACGTAGTCACAGATCGCGGTGCTGCGTGCTCCCGGGGAGCACGCACAGGCAATGGATGCAGAGGGACGTTTAGAAACGTCCCAGTGCATCGGCAGCACTCCCATCCAGCCATTTATCGACAATGGGCCAGATGGGAAGAGGTTAAGGATTCTCAACAAAATATTAGAAATTAACATTTTTATGATTATAGTCATTTGTCCAATTACATTTGAGCCCCTGAAAATGGAGGGACTGTGTATAAAAATGGTTGCAGTTCCGGAAATTTGTTCTTTATATTTTATGTTCAACCCCTTGAATTAAAGCTGAAAGTCCGCACTTCAAATTCATTTGGATTGTTTTGTTTTAATTTATTCTGGTGGCACACAGAGCCAAAAGTATGAAAAAAATTGTGCTTGTGTCCAAATATATATGGACCTAACTGTGTGTGTGTTTTATATACACTACTCAAAAAAATTATTGTCAAGTAAACTCCTGGGATATTGATTTGGTCAGTTAAGTGGCAGAGGGGGTTGTTAATCAGTTTCAGCTGCTTTGGTGTTAAATTAACAGGTGCACTAAATGGGTAACATTGATGTCACATGGGGTGGGGTCACATGCGTGATGTCCCCGGGCGGCCCTGCCCCTTACATATTTAAGAGCTGTCAAGCCACTGGAGCAGGCATCATCGGGAGCCGAGCCTTTTTTTTTTTCGGGTTGGCAATGGCTGGCATCGGGATTGATATTGGATCTACTGCGGGGGACATTCTTTTAGTTTGTTCTTTTAATAAAGGACTTGTCAAAGACCGTGTCCTGCCTTTTTTTTTTTTCCACACTACACTGTTTTTTATGAATGAGTAATCATTCACATTGGGGGGGGGGGGGATCTGGGGGTTCCAGATTCTGATAAGCCCCCTGCCAGCAGACCCCCACAACCACTGGCCAGGGTTGTGGGGAAGAGGCCTGTTTAGAGGTCTGTTTTTATAGCGCAAGAAATATAAACCACACAGGTGATCAAATACCACCGAAAGAAAGCTCTATTTGTGGGGAAAAAAAAAGACGTAAATTTCATTTGGGTGCAGTGTTGCATGACCGTGCAATTTGCAGTCAAAGTAACGCAGCGTGATATCGCAAAAAATGTCCTGATCAGGAAGGGGGGTAAATCCTCTGGAGGGCAGGTGGTAAATGGTAAAGATTACTATGATGGTTACTGTAGGAACATAAAGCATTGAAAAAGGAAACTCGGGTGAATTTACTGTAAGGTTGCTGTTGCAGGATGGAAGAATGCTGGGTGGGAGATCGCTGTAGTAGGAATAGGGTGCTAAAATGTTATTGGGGGGGGGGATGTGGGGGGGGTGGGATCTCTAAGAAGTCAGCTGGAGATTGACATTTAAATCCACACTACAAATCTGCATCAGAGGAGGAAAAACAACTGCTCTTGTGGAGGAGGAAAAAGGATTAATGGTGACCATAAAGCGAGGTGCGAATAGAGGGATAACAGCTGTGGTGGGGGTGGGAGAGATGGGTGGTAAAGTGTGGCTGAATACAGTCAAGCTGGAATGCTGGTGGATTGCCTTGTGCACTGAGGCATGACAGTTTGGGGCTGATGGTAGAGTAGAGTGACCGCACAATGGGGAAAGAGAGCCTATTGGTGGATGGGCAGTCTAGGATAGTGACATCTGAGGGGAGGTGAAGAGGGAAACTGATCTCAGAAGATGACCGCTTGTGTAGAGATGCAGTGAAGGGAGAGGGAAATGGAAGCCTGAAGACTGATGTCAGAGGTTGACAGCTGGAGGCAAATTGAGAGACAAGCGAAGACCAGGATGGAAGGAGGGGAGAGAGTCTTTTTCCTCCCGAAACACGTTGGTTTGATGTACTTGTCATTATTCTTAATAAATGCCCCTTAATCTACAAGCAAAAATGCATTCTTTTGGACATCAGGTGTTCCTTCTTTCCAAGCCTACGTGTGGAAACAACCTTAAGGCCATACCAGAAAGGCAGCAGCCCAAACCCTAAGAGGGTTTACTGCCAGTGTCCACCATTGGGCACAAAGAACTGGAGGAACATCTCCCTAACCACCCACTTAAGACCAGTGACTGATCCAGTCAGTCCAGCCCGGTCTTCAGCACAACTAATACTTTTGTTTTTAGAAGCTGCCTAGGTTATAAAGGTTTTCTTGCTACCACCTGTCAGTTAATTTTAAGTATCTTGTTTTAGTTGGCACTAACACCAATTTTGGATATTCTGCCTTTGAATTTGATGGGTTCTCTATTGTTTAGAATCCAATACCTTAGCCTTATTTTTTTCTCTAGTATAATATAGCTTTATAATATTACTACATATTACAATAATCAACCTTGTCATTTTATTTCAGCATGTGGATGTGGCTGCTTTACTTATTAAATTCAATGCTTCTGTGAATGCCACTGATAAGTGGGCTTTTACACCACTGCATGAAGCTTCTCAGAAAGGAAGGACACAACTTTGTGCGTTGCTTCTGGCACATGGTGCCGATCCTACGCTGAAAAATCAGGAGGGGCAGACCCCATTAGATCTGGTTACAGTAAGTAATGAAGTGTTCCTTTTTTGTGTTTGTGTTGTATTTTCTTGTTTGCAGTATCCCCTTTATGATTGATTCTGAATAACCCTAGCAATATCAAGTTTGCAATTACAACCCATCAAATGCTCTTTGGCATAGGGTTATTTTTTATGGCTATGCATACAGTACTGATTAAAAGTTTTAGACCGGTCTGAAAAAAAATGCTGTAAATGAAGAATGCTTTCGGAAATAGAAGTGTTAATAGTTTAGCCTCGTTTCCATGTCCAATGCATGAAAGCTATAAAACTCAACTATGCATGAAATCCTAGGAACTGGGGTGCAGAAAAATGGCAGTAGGTGCTCTGAATTGATGAGCCAAAATCTGAAATAATTGGCTGTAGCAGGAGGCAGTTTATTATCTGAAGGGCTGGATAGCGGTACAAAGAGTGTTTGCAGCCAAACAGTGATGCATGGTGGAACCTCCTTGCAAGTTTGGGGCTGTATTTCTGCAGAGTTGGAAGATTTGGTGAGGAGTAACGTTGTACAGGTAGGTATACTATCATGCTATAGCATCAGTGTGATGTGTGATTGGCCCCAAATTTATTCTGCAGCGGGACAATGGCCCCAAACATACACCCAATGTCATTAAGGACTTTCTTCAGTGTCGAGAAGAACAGAGTCCTGGAAGAGATTGTTTGACCCCACAAAGATCTGGTCTCAACATCAAGTCTGCTTGGAATTACATGAAGAGACAGAAGGATTTGAGGCAGCCTACATTCCCAGAATTCCAGTGGTTCTCCAAGATGTTTGGAAAACCCTACTTGCCTGAGTTCCTTCAAAAACTGTGCAAGTGTACCTAAAGAATTGATGCTGCTTTGAAGGCAAAGGGTGGTCACACCAAATATTGATAGGATTTGGATTTCTGTTCTGTTCCATTTGGGTAATTGATAAAAAGTAAACAATTAAAGCGGTAGGAAACTCAAACAAAAAAAAAGTTTTTCCTTCTGCAAGTGAATATCATGCATTGCATACCAGCAAATTATGAAAGACTTGCCTTAGAACGAAGCCCTCCAGCGGTGTGCTGTCACTGCTGACAGGGCTTCCATCTTTACCCGGTCTTCCTTCTGGGTTCCTGGGCTGCAGTCGCTTGGATGGTCGAGCCGCCCATGATGTCATGCTCCTGGCATGCACAGGAGTCTCCTCCACGGCACACAGCTCTGAAGCAACAGCACGGGTGTGCCGTTCCTTCAGAGTGCATGCGCCGGTGATATCACTGGCTGTTGCTCTGTAGAATATCTCCTAAACAGTGAATGTTTAGGACAGGCATGACTAAATGGCGGACTGTGGTCTAGATTGGGACCTAAAAACATTCCTTTACAGACTGTAACCTTACCAAATAGTTGCCTGAATGTCCTTTCCCCCCTACCGGCTCATTCGCATGCTGCTATTATCCTCAAGGAAGGGCACAACATTGAGGAGCAGCAGGCTGTCCCTTTCATAACATAGCAGTACTCCCCCCCTCCCCACGCTGTCCTACCTTATTCACACAAGATGGGAAGCATAGGGTCTGGGCATAGGGTGGGACTTTTCATGTTAGGAAGTGAGTGATTGGTTGAGGGTGATTGGTTGCTTGGCAGCAGGGTGGTCCGAGCAATCATTTACCTGCCTTTAATATGAAAAGTCCCACCCTATGTCCAGACCTTCTGTGCTTGCCATCTTGTGTGAATAAGGTAGGACAGTGTGGGGAGGGGGTGAGAAAAGGGATAGTGCTGTGATGTTGGGAAAGGGACAGGAATCTGTAATGGGCATGGAGGACTGTGCTGAGGGTGGGGTCTGTGCTGTGGGGAAGGGATCAGATGGAGGGGGGTCTGTCTTGAGGGGGATTTGTGATGGAGCAGTCGATGATGTGGGGTCAGTGATGTAAATGGGGGTGGGAGGAAGAAACTATGGTGTGCATGGGAGGCTGTGATGTGAAGTACCCCTGGTTTAGGAGATATTCATTTTACCTACAGGTAAAATATAAAATGAGTTTACTACCACTTTAACACTTTTATTTCTGAGTGCATTCTTTGGTAATTCGTTGAATTGACCAGATTAATAACGTATTCTGGCCATTGAAATGAATTACCGCTCAAGCGCTGAATATGCCTAGCATTTAAGTGTGTTTACATGCGTTTAGGAGTGTGTACAAATTTCAAGCATCTTCTCTGCCAAAACTCTGCTACTCCTGGATGCACCGGCAATGGGGTTTTTTTTTTTGTGCCTCTAAAGTCCTGTAAGCCTAAGACTGCACATTGGCTAACGAGCAGTGTGCTTAGAGGCAGGAACAATAAAACGTCAGCTTACCCCTAGGAGCCACTGAAAAATTGTCCTGTGTGCATGACGCCTTATGCTAAGATTGCAGGGATCTCAATCTTAAGCCAACTTAAACCTCTTGTATAGTGGAGCCTCAATTTTACGTTCTTTTCTACAGCTGCTTTATGAACATTTAAAGGCCTGGGGGATTAAAACATCCTTTTGGGAACTGCCACTGTACTGGTGTATGGTAATTGATATAGCTATTAAAATGTTTCAAAATTGTTAGATCTGGAAGGTTTTGAATTTTTTTTTTTTTTCGTTCTTTAAACAGGCTGATGATGTACGTGCCCTCCTAGCAGCAGCTATGCCTCCAGCATCTTTACCAGCATTTTATAAGCCACAGCTTATCAATGTTTCCCAGCCCACATCCTCAACAGCAGGAGTCTTATCTTCAGTACCTTCAAGTCCACCCACACTTTCTGCTGCCAGCAGCTTGGATAACCTGGCCACCGGTTTTTCAGAATCGCAGTCTACAGCTAGTGGTGGAGCTGAGGGCGGCACTGCAGCTTTGGAGAAGGAGGAAGGTAACTCGCTTCTGGTTTCCTTTTTTGAAATGTTATTTTGAAGACATTCTCAAGATAGATAGATATAGATATATAGATAGAGATATAGATAGATATATTTAGATAGAGATTAGATAGATAGATATATATATATATATATATATATAAATCTGCGCTAAAAGTAAGATAACAAATGAGCGTTCAAGTATATAGCAGCTGAACACTAGACCCCGGTACCAGGCGATATAACCGTGTACATATAAAGTGCAGCGCTTAACAGAAAACAATTGGTGAGACAAACTTATAAATCATTAAAGGAAATGTCCATCTAGAGTTGTCAAAAATTGAGGAAAGTCCCCAAAATCCATGATGAACAGGAAAATCCAAGGATAGCTGATGTGTCACCAACCAGTCACATAAGTCTTACCAGAGATATATGACCCCCTGTTAAAAGTGGTCAATCACGCTTTGCTGTATGATAACCCAGAAAACTGGAAAGCTGGACACTCCTGGATCCCCAAGGGAGAAACTCCAAAGATCCCCAAGGCAATGATCCTAAATAGGGTAGCTAAACCACTCCGGATGGGACCAAATAGGTATTAGAAGACATGCAAGAGAAAAATGCTCCTCTGCTGCCACTTCCAGCAACAACAGCTCTGAGGAGGAAGTAGAGAGGAGACTTTTAGCTACCCAATTTAGGATCATTGCTTGGCGGATCTTTGGTGTTTCTCCCTTGGGGATCCAGAGGATTGTCCAGCTTTCCAGTTTTCTGTGGTTATCATACCGCAAAGCATGATTGATTACTCTTAACAGGGGGGTCATATCTCTTTGGTAAGCCTTTTATGTGACTGGTGACACATCAGCTATCCTTGGAGTTTCCTGTTCATCATGGCTTTTGGGGACTTTCCTTTATTTTGAGAACTCTAGATGGACATTTCCTTTAATGATTTATTATAATTTTGTCTCACCAATTGTTTTCTGTTAAGCGCTGCACTTTATATGTATAAAATTATTAATCTAACTCGCTGCTTCCATACATTTCAGTTGTTTAATACCTAACCTCTTCACAAGCTTTGTTGCTCTTAGAGATAAAATTGCAGGCTGCACTCAGAAAGATAGAAACTTGTTATATCCTCTGTCAGCTTTCTGAGTGTGGTACTGCAGCACATGCACAGTGGATATAAAGTCTACACACCCCTGTTAAAATGTCAGGTTTCCCTGATGTAAAAAAAATGAGACAAATAATTTTCAGAACTTTTTCCACCTTTTTAATGTTGCCTATAAACCGTACAACTCATTTGAAAAACAAACTGAAATCTTTTGGGGGGGCAGTAAACGTAAAAAAGCTAAAAGGGGGTGCATGCGTGACCTTGGTTGATGGCGGACACTCAGTAACAGAGATCCGCTCATCCCCGGCCTTCCCGGCTCTCCTGCTCGGCTACATCAGCTGCTCCGATCACCGGGTGAGCCTCACAAGCCCTGCACCTGGCCCGGCACCAGAAAAAAAAAAAAAAAATGAAAATGGGGAAGATTGGACGCTGGAAGCCCCCCTCCGCCGACAGACCCACGGCCCTCACCGCTCCATCGCTTCCTTACTAGGCCGCAATCCCCTCAAGTACCGCCGCCAGCCCGCAGAAGAGCTACAGACCCCTGGCGGCAACGGGGAACTGCAGATCGCATTGAATAACAACAAAAGAGGTTGAGGTTGTTTAATATTAACTTGTATCGCTGAACGTATTATATCTGCCCATTTAATCAAAAACATACAGCAAACAAACTGAAAAAGAATTTACAAAGAGAAAGCAAAGAAGCCCTGCTATCCTCAGTCCGCAATAAACCCTCCCTGGAATTTAAAGGGGGACCGACTCCAGCTTTTCAGTGGTCTCTCTCCGATTACCCTGGCCAAACGGGCACTGAAACCGATCACCACACATCTTCAGCAACACCACGTCCCTTATTGTTGGGGATTCTCCTTCAAGTTAGTCGTCTCTAAAGACAACGCCCAAGTTATCTTGCGTGAACTCCATGAGGCGGACTTCTTCCTCAAGCAACTGGGACTTTTTTTTTCTTGCCGGGATTGATGATTACCAAGATGTGTCAGTTGTCGTGTTGCCCCCGAACCTGTCTAGCCGTAGGCCTAGACGACTTGGGTCTGTTCATTTACCCCAAGTTTACAGCACCGCAGATATCTTTTTGTTTTTTGCTGTAACTCCTACGTTTATATTTTGTGTTATATCCGTGTACTGGATCTTTGTTTTTTCTGTTCTTAGTTTGCTTCATTGATGATACTCCATTTACTCTTTATGCTGGTTCAAATTCTATTTACATTGTTGTTTTATGATCTTACGGTTATTAACAGATAATGTCAAAGGTCTTAAGTCCATCTAAAAGCAGAGGATGGCTTTGAAGGAATTTCGATCCTCAGGAGCAGACATAATTTTCTTTCAGGAGACCCATTTTAAATCGACTGGCTCCTTTCGTTTTGCCTCAAGGTTTTTTTCCCAATCCTACTCGGCTTTCGACCCCACTGGGAAGCCTGGAGTGGTGATTCTGATCCGGACGCACTGCCCCCTGCAGGTAGTTTCCTCTAAAGTCAACCCACGAGGTCGTTTTATTATTTTGGAATGTATGTTTGGTGACTCTCCCCTTGTCTTGTTGAATTTGTATGCCCCGAACACGGGTCAACTGCAGTTTCTCTCCCAAACACTTGCCAAACTGAGTTCCTCCTCAACACCACATGTGATCATTGGAAGTGATTTTAATCTAATCATCTCCCCCCATAAAGACAGGAAGGTCCTTTTCGAATCCACTCCCTCAAAGCGGCAATGTTCCTCTTCTAAATCTTTTCGCAAACTGATAAGGGAGCATCGTCTTTTTGACGCCTGGCGGATTAGACATCCTCTTCACAAAAAGTTTACTTTCTACTCCACCCCTCATCGCAGCTTTTCCTGCTTGAACCATTTTTTCATTTCCAACCCATTGCTTCCTCTTTTGGTTTCATCTAAAATCAATTCTATCACATGAAGTTTGCCACTGAACATCTGAATGATGCAGAAGAGGACTGGTTGAAAGTGTTGTGGTCAGATAAAACCACAATCGAGCTCTTTGGTATCAACTCAACTCGCCGTGTTTGAAGGAGGAGGAATGCTGCCTATGACCCTAAGAACACCATCCCAACTGTCAAACGTGGTGGAAACATTCTGCTTTGGGGGTTTTTCTGCTAAGGGGACAGGACAACTGCACCGCATCAAAGGGACGATGGACGGGGTAATGTACCGTCAAAACTTGGGTAAGAACCTTCTTCCCTCAGCCAGGGCATTGAAAATGAGTCATAGATGGGTGTTCCAGCATGACAATGACCCAAAACACACGGCCAGGGCAACAAAGGAGTGGCTCAAGAAGAACATCATTAAGGTCTTAGCCAGGCTCCAGACTTCAATCCAATTGAAAACCTGTGGAGGGAGCTGAAAACGTCAGTCACCAAACCTTAATGATTTGGAGAGGATCTGTCAAGAGGAGTGGGCCAAAATCCTTCCTGAGATGTGTGCAAACCTGGTGACCAACTACAGGAAATGTCTGACCTCTGTGATTGCCAACATGGGATTTGCCACCAAGTACTAAGTCATGTTTTGTGAAGGGGATCAAATACGTATTTCCCTCATGAACATGCAAATCAGTGCATAATTTGTTAGACATGCATTTCTTTTGAATTTTTTGTTATCCTGTCTCTCCGTGTTACAATACACCTACCATTTGATTTTTAGACTGATCATTTCTTTGTGAGTGGGCAAACATTCAAAATCAGCAGGGGATCAAATACTTATTTCCTTCACTGTATGTATATACATGTGAAAACTTAATAAAATGTTAATTACAAAAAAAAAAAACCTAAACCCCCCCCCCCCCAAAAAAAAAAAGTAAAATATGGACGCATAAGTGTGCACACCCTCTTATAACTGGGGATGTAGCTGTGTTCAGAATTGAGCAATCGCATTGAAAATCTGTTTAAATAGGAGTCGGTACACACCTGCCATTATTTAAAGTGCCTCTGATTAACCCCAAATAAAGTTCAGCTGTTCTAGTAGGTCTTTCCTGACAATTTCTTAGTCGCATTCTACAGCAAAAGCCATGGTCCGCAGAGAGCTTCCAAAGCATCAGAGGGATCTCATTGGTAAAAGGTATGAGCCAGGAGAAGGGTGCAAAAGAATTTCCGAGGCATTAGATATACCATGGAACACAGTGAAGACAGTCATCAAGTGGAGAAAATATGGTGCAACAGTGACATTACCAAGAACTGGATGTCCCTGCAAAAATTGATGAAAAGACAAAAAAGATGACTGGTCTGGGAGCCTGCCAAGAGGCCTACAGCAACATTAAAGGAGCTGCCGGAATATCTGGCAAGTACTGGCTGTGTGGTACATGTGACAACAAGCTCCCATTTTCTTCATATGTTTGGGCTATGGGGTAGAGTGGCAAGATGGAAGCCTTTTCTTACGAAGAAAAACATCAAAGCCCAGATAAATTTTGCAAAAACCCATTTGAAGTCTCCCAAAAGCATGTGGGAAAATGTGTTATGGTCTGATGAAACCAAGGTTGAACTTTTTTGCTTTAATTCCAAAAGCTACGTTTGGCGCAAAAACACCACTGAACATCACCAAAAGAACATGCCCACAGTGAAGCATGGTGGTGGCAGCATCATGCTTTGGGCCTTTTTTTTTTTTCAGCTGGAACTGGGGCCTTGGTCAAGGTAGAGGGAATTATGAACAGTTCCAAATACCAGTCAATATGGCACTAAACCTTCAGGCTTCTTGAAAGCTGAACATGAAGAGGAACTTCATCTTTCAGCATGACAACGACCCAAAGCATACATCCAAATCAACAAAGGAATGGCTTCACGAGAAGAAGATTAAAGTTTTGGAATGGCTCAGCCAGAGCCCAGACCAAAATCCGATTGAAAATCTGTGGGGTGATCTGGAGAAGGCTGTGCACAGGAGATGCCCTCTGATGCAATCTGACAGATTTGGACTGTTTTTGCAAGGAAGAGTGGGCAAATATTGCCATGTCAAGATGTGCCATGCTGATAGACTCATACCCAAAAAGACTGAGTGCTGGAAAAAAAACAAAAGGTGCTTCAACAAAGTATTAGTTTAAGAGTGTGCACCCTTATGCAACCATATTATTTTAGTTTATTTTTACTTCCCTATACCTAAAGATTTAATTTTGTTGTTCAACGGTGTTGTACAGGTTATAGGTTATATTAAAGGTAGAAAAAGTTCTGAAATGGTTTTTGTCTCTTTTTTTTTTTTTTTTTTTTTTTTTTTTTTTACACATCACAGAAGCCTGACATTTTAACAGGGGTGTTTAGACCTTTTACATCCACAGTATAAAGTACAATGGTGCCACATATGTATCTGAAAAACTGGAATTATTCATACCAAGCAAAGTAGACATTATCTTTTTTTTTTTTCTTTTTTTTTTCTTCCCCCCCCCCCCCCCCATTTGTCTTTCAAAGTGCCAGGAGTTGATCTAAGCATTAATCAGTTTTTGCGGAGCCTTGGACTTGAACACTTGATTGACATCTTTGAGAGAGAACAGGTAAGTCATCTTAATATAGGTCTCATACAATGTTCTCATCTTGGCATCGACTGCGTCTGTGCATTTCTTGATTAAATTGGCAAGATATATGTGGAGGTTATTCTCAAAACAATTGGTTTTACTACAGGTGTTTTTTTTGTTTTTTTCCTTTTATAGAATTTGCTTGTTCATTGTCTCCTAAAGGCATTGCCCATCTTTTGCAAAACTGCAGTAAATACACCCACAATGTTTGTTTGCTAAATTTTTTAATTGAAGCTTGCTTTGCAACAAAGATCGCTACATTACAGATGAGAAGCACAGGCTCCTGCATTGTTTAGATTCCATCCCTGGTCCATACATATTTACAGACCTACTCTTTATAGTGTTGGAAGGAAGTAATCCATAGACTAGAAGTGTGGTCACCGCACTTGTGCTAGTGCTCTGCAAGTTCCTCTGCATTTGTAGTCTTCCCATTCACATTTCCTGTGAATGGATGTTGGGGCCATGCACAGCCACTATAAATTTAAAAAAAAAAAAAAAATGGATGCAGGAAGAAGCACCCAACGATTTAGGTAGGTGGGTGGGTGGGTGGGGAGCAGTTTGGTGGGAAGTTGAAGACTGTGACCTTGTTTCACCCAAAATATGGATATTTCATGTTAGTGCTGTTTTTATATTTTAGAAGCATTTTAAAATTGGTAATTGGTTTGTTGAAAAAAATCATTCTGCTGTGTCATTTGTATTGTATATTTGCTTTGTACACGCTTTAATGTATCCACTCACATTTTCATGATAAACATAGGTATGCTAGAATTTAGACTACAAAGTTTAATGTAAAAACACATTGTCATGTCTGTTTATAGATCACACTAGATGTTCTAATTGAGATGGGACACAAGGAGTTCAAGGAGATTGGAATTAATGCTTATGGGCACAGGCATAAAATAATCAAAGGTTTGGAGCGGCTCATATCAGGCCAACAAGGTAATTAATGTTTTCCCAAGTCTGGAATTACTTCTAGGAATGTACCACAGAGTGAAGAGCTAGTTCTTACAGAAACGAGCAACACACCTGCACTGCCGCACACCACAATGCATGACGTACATTGCGCCAGAAAAAAAATGGTGCATGTCTGTTTTTGCCTGCAGTGTAGTGCATTTTCACACATTAAAAAAAAAAAAGCTGCCTTGAAACACACATTAATGGGAAACTTATTGGAACTCTAAGAGGTTAACTTAGACTTCCTTTGTGGTATGGCACATATCGTCTTGGTGTTGCACAAATGTACTGGGTAGGGCCCATTCACACCACAGCAAGCGCATTACGTTTATGGTTTAATGTTAACCAGGGCATCTTGTAGAAAGTTTGTAACTAACGTCAATAGTGAAGTGTCCCTAAACAAAAACTGACCAGCATCAGTTGCATTTGGATTACTCATCAGGCAGTTTTGTCTATAATTGTTTTAGCAGTCATTTCCAAGGGGCTTTCTGATTTCAGTTTAGTGCTAGCCTTGAATTGGTGCATGTTCAAAATGTGAAAATCTGTATGAACATTTTCAGATAAACATTGCACTAGCTCCACACAAATGATCTTTACTGAAAGGATGTATTGGATTCCATCTGTGTTACCAGGCATGTTGACCTGCCCACAGTTAAGATTCCTGTTATGCACATTATATTTTAGGAGTTACACAAATGACCTATCCAAAGTGTTGTCTAGTCTAGGTACTGTAGAGCTTCCACGTGTTTGAGATATACTGAATTGTTTTATATTTGGTAATTGTAGTATGTTCAAGAATAGTCTGAACCTCTTTTTTATGTTTGATTGCTGATCCCTGTGCCTCAATTTTAGGTTTGAATCCTTACTTGACACTTAACACCTCTGGCAGCGGAACTATATTAATTGACCTAGCTCCAGATGACAAAGAATTCCTGTCTGTGGAAGAGGAGGTAAAAGCTTTTGTATTTTTTTTTCTCTCATGTTTTATTATTGCCTGACAATAGAAAAGTACAAACCATACTTATTCTGTTACACTGTAATAAAAGTAATAAAAGCAAATTTACAGAAAATACATCAGACATTTTTCTTGATAATAATCACAACATCAGGTATCCTTAAAAGCCCTAATAGGAGCATTTGTCTTATGTATGTATTCCAGTCTAGCAAAACATTTTAGAGATTTAAACCCTCAAACTAAGAATTTACATTAACAAAGGAAAACAAGAAACAATAGTAGAAGCTCTTCTGACAACTCCGGCACAAGGGCAGACCAGCGGTCCCTGGCTCATTCAGTTAACTGGGAACTACAAGAAGCCACTGCTGTATAGTATCTGGAGGCAAATTTAGTATGATCCAGATCTAGTAAAAAAGCTTCCAGTATAGTATTTTCCAGGTAAAATTCACCTCCACCAATCTGAGACCCCACAGCATGACATAGTTGAAAGCATTTAAAACGCTGTATCCACAGAATTTAATTTTCCCTGCAAAAATGCTCAACTGTAAAGAAGCGCCCACCTGAGAATAACTGATGGGTATACTTCCATATTGGGCCCAGGATACCCCACCTTTCAATTTGTAAAATTCCCCCAAAGAGGGCTTAAACCAAAGGGGATTATTAGGAGACCTAAGGAAAGATGCATCTGATATAATATGGGAACCAAATAATGTTTCCCCCCCCATGTTAGGGATCATTTTCATATACAGTGTGGCTACCACTGCCTCCGCCTCAATTGTTGCGTTTGGAATTTGGAGGAAAAATGCACCACTGAAGGTAAATTAATTGTGAAGCAAAATAACTTCACCTCAGACGGAGCTTTCTCTCCGCTGTTAACATGTTGGCACCAGCTCTGCCCTTCCCTAAGCATTTGTAGCTTTACAAAGGAGGGTAGCAATTTTCTAGCCAGAAATATAACCGTATTTTTAACTTAAAATTATACATGGGTAGGTTTTTTTTTATTTCTCGTTCAACCTGCAGTTTGAATGAAAATAAACTGACTTGAATACTCCATTTACACAGTTGAGGTAGATGGGGGGGGGGGGGGGAAGAATCCTCCCCGTGGTGTCATATTTAGACAGTGGGGAGGTTTCCCCCACCTGCAGAATACACAGATCGGCATTGCAGTGATTGCCGTAGAACATACCAACAGGGTGCTTGAACAGAAGACGATTGGTAAATAAATCTGTAAATCACATTGGCCACACATGAATAGAAACTCTGGCTGAATTTTTATCCATGTATGGCCAGCTTAACTTTGGCAAAAATATTATGCAAACTGCAAGTAATTTTTTTTTTTTTTTTTTCCTGCCGACACACCTGGGCAATTGAATCCATGGTTATTGTAAACTGATCTATAAGCAGAGAAACATTTTTGTGAAACTGCACATGTAAACTATTAGTAGATTCAGATAGACTAATCTTGACCCTTTTTGTTAAAATGAAGCTTGTCACACCCCTCCTCCTCTTGAGCCTTCTATTCTATAATATGGTGGGTGGCCTTGAAGACCAGTATGATGGCTTGGGAGCTGGGAAGTGCAGAACCATGCTCAGATTTTATAGGAAATTTTGAGATTTTCATAATGCCTTCAGCTGCCTCTATCTGGATCTACTGGTCCCCTGCGCATTTTTTGCTTGGTTTAAATTCTCCAGTTTTGTGAAATTCAAGAAAATAAAACTTTTACTCTACAAATATGACTATGATTAAATAATGATTATGAAGCCCTGCCTTATCCTAGTTTGCTCTGTTAATGTTTAAAATTAAAAATTAACAGTTGATCATTTTAGTCTGTTTGCTTGACCCTAGTGCTTTCCACATCCTTTTTTGGTTTTCAGACTTTTTTTTCTTTTTTTCAGATGCAAAGTACTGTCAGAGAGCACAGGGATGGAGGACATGCTGGTGGAGTCTTCAACAGATACAATATATTAAAGGTATGTAGCTGCTGCTGATGGGTTCATTTATTGTCCTTTTTTTCTTTTCATTTATTTTTAACTTAAAAAAAAAACACTCTTAACTTTAGTACTATGTTCCAATGTTGCTACAGATTCAAAAGGTGTGCAATAAGAAACTCTGGGAAAGATACACACATCGGCGAAAAGAGGTTACAGAGGAAAATCATAATCACGCCAATGAAAGGATGTTATTTCATGGTAAGCCTAAAGTCATGGGTTGAAGACTACTACACATTAAATGAGAGAGCTTTGTTCCAGCTTGGACAGTGAGCATGTTACATTACCTAAGATTACTGTATTCACAATGCAACTTGATTTTTCTGAAATGGTTGCCTACACTAGAATGCCTAGCACAGGTATGAGATTGAATTTTGAGATGAATTTTGTTTTTATGTATGTCATTCAAGTGGGTGCTTGTCCCACTGAACTTAAGGGATAGTGTCTACAACCTCCATAGCACAAGCTACTACCACACATGCACAGCCACCATTCATAGTTCTTTTCTGCGGACTGTGCTTCTCTGATGGAGAACATGCACCAACTGGAGGCTGTACATGCTGCTGATCTGGGGAAGTCTGTGGCAGCCCAAACAGCTTGTGTCTAACTTAGGTCTGGTGTATTTGACAGTATAATTTAAAGTAGTGGGCACAGAGGGGTCATATAGAAAAGGTTACCATCATTTGGTTCTTTGCCAAATGAGTAACTTCTCTTTCTAAATAGCTGTTTCATTGTTAGTAGTTCTGTTGTTTTGCTGGTGCTGCAAGGAGACCGAATACATTTCTTGATAAAACCAGAATGGTCATGGCCATCTATTTCCAATGTTTTCCATCCTTTCATTAGTCTGTATCCAGGGCAACAAAATATTAGGCATTTTGGAGACAATTGATTAAATGCTTCTCTGTTAGTGACTGTATGTTGTTAATCCTGATAACCTACTCTGAAATATAAAACCAATACTTAGTGTATGAGCTTATGTTCCTTATCTAAGCAATGTTTTCCAAATTACTGGTCAATATTGTTTTATAAGCTGGTGTCTTATTGCCAGATTTATGCAGGTCAAGCATTCATTTTCTACTTGGTTTCTAGGCTTTAGCAAGTTTCTGGGATTACAATGTAGAAAGTAGGAGGATCATTTTATTTTTAATCTAGAGGTGATAGAAACTGTACAACCCAAATTGCATCCTGTTCCAGATGTTAAGCCAAATGCAGCCCAGCTGTGGTGATTTGTGCCATTTGTGGCTAATTTATCTCTGGTGTAGGTTGGGAAAAGGTATCAAGTGGTTTTTCTCAACTTGTGTGTAGATTAATGGATTATTCTATTTTCCTCTTGGTTCAACTGTATAGATTCACTGCCATGGAATAGTGAAGGCTTGTAAGTAAGAATATGGTTGTTTGCAGCAAAGATTTCTGAAATGGGTTTTTATAATTGTGACCAATTCCCTTTAAAGGAATCCTTTCAGGATAGCTTTTATCTGTCACAATGTTGTTTCTACCTTGTATTTGAAGTGAAGTGGTGATAGTTAGTGTCACCTCATGATGCCTGATGCTGTATGGGAGTTTTCTGTCCTGCAGCTGGCACTGCTTTAGGAAGTCTGGCAGTGGCAAGAGTTGTAGCCTGTGCTTAAGGGTACATGCTGAATTCTGTATGGGAGTTTTCTGTGGTGGTATATTAATCACTGCGATCATGTATTTATATGTAGCGCCTCTTACTGGTCAGGTTTTAATTGTAGTCTCTCTGCCCAGTATTCAGATTCCCTTCCTATTGGCACAAGAAACAATGGAAATCTCTCCAGTGGGGGGATATGAACAACATAAAGAAACTTTAGGGAGAGGTTAGAACCTCTGTCAGGTTTTTTTTAAACTGTCTGTTTTGTCTAAGTGACAGCTGCTTCTCTAATTTGTTACCCTGCTGAAACATTGAAGTAAAACAGGAAGTTTCCTTCATAGTACGTTTTTGACCAATTTTTACTGCTGTTTATCTCCAATTTAATGCAAATTAAAAATTAAATGTGTGTGTGTATGTATATGTATGTGTGTGTGTGTATATATATATATATATATATATATATATATATATATATATATATATATATATAATAAATAAAAATGGCTTTGTCAGACACTGACGTTTGGCCTTCTGCTGTCATAAAAAATAAAACCTCCACACACTGCTGAAGCAGACTCCATTGTAGGCCTGCCTGCCACTGTGGCACTTCTCTTCATCACCGCAGCTGGGGGCACTGATTGGCTGAATCTGAGGGTGCCCAGTCTGAAAAGAAGGTAAGTATTTCAGAACACATCTGTTTTTGTGGGGGTTTTTTGTTTTCTTTCCTTGCAGGAACAATGAACTAAAAGGCTTTGTTGACTTTTGGTCAAATTTTATGGTCCGTGCATTTGTCATGCTTTGTTCAAGCGAAATTTTCCCATATAGACTCTTGAAGTAATGGTGTTTGAATGAAAGGGGCATTGCAGTAGCTTTCATGCACTGTTTGGCAGGTGCCCACAAATACAACTGAGTGTGGTAGTTAGAACTGTTTGGGGAAAAAAAAAATGTGGTTTTGGCTGCTGTAATATTATAAAGTAAAATGTTTTTCCCCCACAGGTTCTCCATTTGTAAATGCAATAATTCACAAAGGGTTTGATGAAAGGCATGCATACATTGGTGGTATGTTTGGAGCTGGCATATACTTTGCTGAAAACTCTTCAAAAAGCAACCAATATGTCTATGGAATCGGAGGTGGAACGGGCTGTCCAGTGCACAAAGACAGATCTTGTTACATTTGTCACAGGTGTGAACCTTTACTGTAAATGTACTCAGGCCAGTCTATTATCTTCGTATTTAGGCATCCCATATTTCATTTAAAATTTAAGATTTTTGTACTTACCATAAAATCTTTTCTTCGAAGTCCATTGAGAGATGCAGGCATATAGTAATGCATGGCCGTGGGTTTTACTAGGTAGCAGTATAACCCACATGTCCAAGAATTACTAGCTTCTCTTTCCCTTAGTGGATAATAAAAAAAAAATAAGCTGTAGATATCTATATGTTGCCAAGTAAAACAGCTTAACCTGTTTCTATGAACATGGCATCTCTTTGTTAATTTACCTTTTTCCTTGCTTAAGTTGCATTTTGGCTTTTGTGTGTTTGTATATGCATTGCAATCTCCATTCCAGTGGAAAGCCTTTGTTTAATAGAATGAACAGAGATTGAAAAAAAAAAATGATTTTCCCAGTAGATGGCAGCCTTTTGTGTTTTTTCTTTATTTTGTATATTGCAAACCTTGGTTTTTAAATTGACAAAGAATTAATAGTATATGGTATATTTTTTTTTTTCCTTGTAAACATAATTTCTGAACAGAACATCAGTCTATAATTATTACTATTATTATTAAATTATTCTATAATATTATTATGCAGGATTTATATAGCGCCAACGGTTTCTCTATATATAATATACATTTCAGTCTACACTGTAGTATTTTTACATCTCACTGAAGGGACATTGCAAATAGTTCTCCAAGTTAAGTCACTGAAGGATTTTTATTTACCACATAAATGTATGGTACAAAGTCTAGATGTCTGCGTAACGAGCATAGTTTGTTCTTTTTTCTTTCTGTTACAGACAGTTGCTGTTTTGTCGAGTGACATTGGGGAAATCATTCTTGCAGTTTAGTGCTATGAAGATGGCACACTCCCCTCCTGGTCATCATTCAGTAACTGGGCGGCCTAGTGTTAACGGACTTGCTCTAGCGGAGTATGTCATTTACCGGGGAGAGCAGGTAACAAGGAGACTTTTATTTTGACCTAATCAGATTTAGCAAATCAAGTAAAATGATTTGTGTGTGTGTGTGTGTGTGTGTGTGTGTGTGTGTGTATACATACACACTGCTCAAAAAAATTAAAGAAAAACTTTGAAAACACTCAGATTTCAATGGGGAAAAATACCATGCTGGATATCTATACTGATATGGACTGGGTAATGTGTTAGGAATGTAAGGATGCCCCATCGTTTGATGGAAATGAAAATTAACCTACAGAGGACTGAATTCAGACACCCCCAAAATCAAAGTGAAAAAATGATGCGGCAGCCAAGTCCATTTTGCTGAAATTTCATTGCAACAACTCAAAATGGTACTCAGTAGTTTGTATGGCCCCCACGTGCTTGTATGCATGCCTGACAACGTTGGGGCATGCTCCAAATGAGACGATGGATGATGTCCTGGGGAATTTCTTCCCAGATCTGGACCAGAGCATCACTGAGCTCCTGGACAGTCTGAGGTGCAACCTGGTAGCGTCAGATGAATCGAAACATGATATATCAGAGGTGTTCTATTGGGTTTAGGTCAGGCAAGCGTGGAGTCCTTTCAATGGTATCAATTCCTTCATCCTCCAGGAACTGCCTGCATACTCTCACCACATGAGGCTGGGCATTTCCGTGAACCAGGAGGAACCCAGGCACCAGTGTAGGGTCTGACAATGGGTCCAAGGATTTCATCCCGATACCTAATGGCAGTTAGGGTGCCATTGTCTAGCCCAGCAATGGGCAAACTACGGCCCGCGGGCCGTATACGGCCCGGCGGACCTTTTAATCCGGCCCGCGGAGCTAGGCTCCCGCAAGGCCAGTGGTCGGCAAGCCGCGGCTCTTTACAAATTTAGATGCGGCTCTCCTGTGTGCCGGGCGCCCGCTCCCCTCCCTCCTCTCCTCCTCCCCCCTCCCTCCTCTCCTCCTCTCCCCTCCCTCCTCTCCTCCTCTCCCCTCCCCTCCTCTCCTCTCGGATGGCCGCCCCCCCTCTTGGATGGCCGCCCCCCCTCCCTCAGGACGTCAGGACTCTGCAGCTGTCAGGATGTAGGCGGGGCAGCGTGACGAACTCCTCTCACAGTCCTCCCTGAAGACCAGAACGGCGCGGGAATACGAGAGGAACGCGCGGATAAGTGAATTGACACAGGGGGGGGACTTACTATATGGGGGATGAATTACTATATGGGGGACTTACTAGGGGAATGAATTACTATATGGAGGACTTACTATATGGGGAATGAATTACTATATGGGGGACTTACTATATGGGGAATTAATTACTATATGGGGGACTTACTATATGGGGAATGAATTACCTTACTATATGGGGTTATGAATTACTATATGGGGGACTTACTATATGGGGAATGAATTTACTATATGGAGGACTTACTATATGTGAATTACTATATGGAGGACTTACTATATGGGGGATGAATTACTATATGGGGGACTTACTATATGGGGAATGAATTACTATATGGGGGATGAATTACTATATGGAGGACTTTACTATCATGGGGAATGAATTACTATATGGAGGACTGGGGAATGAATTACTATATGGGGGACTTACTATATGGGGAATGAATTACTATATGGAGGACTTACTATATGGGGAATGAATTACTATATGGGGGACTTACTATATGGGGATGAATTACTATAGGGGGATGAATTAATATGGGGGATGAATTACTATGTGGGGGATGAATTACTATGGGGGATGAATTACTATGGGGGATGAATTACTATGGGGGATGAATTACTATATGGGGGATGAATTACTATGGGGGATGAATTACTATAGGGGGGATGAATTACTATGGGGGACGAATTACTATATGGGGGACCCTATATGGGGGACGAATTACTATATGGGGGATGAATTACTATGGGGGATGAATTACTATATGGGGGATTAATTACTATATGGGGGATTAATTACTATGGGGGATTAATTACTATGCACTATGGGGGAATATTACTATACTTACTATGGATGACACATACACATCATTCATCTACTCTTGGTCCGGCCCCCGGGTCCAATATATGAACCCATTGCGGCCCTCAGTCAAAAAGTTTGCCCACCCCTGTCTAGCCTGTAGAGGGCATCCCTCCATGGATATGCCTCCTCAGACCATCGCTGACCTGCCTCCAAACTGTCATGCTGAACAATGTTACAGCAGCATAACGTTCTCTACGGTCCCTTTCACGTTTGTCACATGTGCTCAGGGTGAATCTGCACTCATCTGTGAAAAGCACAGGGTACCAGTGGCCGACCTGCCAATTCTGGTGTTCAATGGCAAATGCCAATAGAGCTCTATGGTGCCGGGCAGTGAGCACAGGTCCCACTAGAGGACGTTGGGCCCTCAGGCCACCCTCATGAAGTCTGTTGCTGATTGTTTGGTCAGAAACATTCACACCAGGGGCCTGCTGGAGGCCCTTTTGTAGGACTCTGTGGAAGGAGGAACAGGATGAGCACTGCCAAAGGAGCAGATACCGGTCCTGCTGATGGGTTAAGGTACGGCCCTGTCCAACTCACCTAGAGTAACTGTCTGTCTCCTGGAATCTCTTCCATGCTCTTGAGACTGTGCTGAAAGACACAGCAAATCTTCTGGCAATGGCACGTATTGATGTGCCATCCTGGAGGAGTTGGACTGCCTGTGCAACCTCTGTAGGGTCCGGTATCACCTCATGCTACCAGTAGTGACACTGACCCTGGCCAAATGCAAAACTAGTGAAAAACAGAAAAGATGAGTAGGGGAAAAATGTCAGCGGCCTCCACCTGTAACCCCATTCCTGTTTTGGGGTTGTCTCATTTTTGCCCATCTAGGGCATTAACCCCAAAGCAGCTGAAACTGATTAACAACCCCCTCTGCTACTTAACTGACCAGATCAATATCCCAGGAGTTTATTTGACTTGATTCTATACCCTTATTTAATTATTTTGAGCAACACACACACACACACACACACACACACACTCACACACTCACACACTCACACACACACTCACACACTATATGATTTGCAGGTGTGAAAAGTGACTACATGTTTTGCGTTGAAAGTGGAAGTTGTGTAACACGCTTTCACTATGTGATGACATCTAGCTAACAGGTGGGAGTCCTCACTTTCGTCATTCACTGTGTACACTACTAGTAATATGGAGTCATGTCAGAGCTTACTGAGCTTCAAGGAGGACAAATTGTTGGTGCCCGTTTAGCTAGTGCCTCTATGACTGAAGTAGCAAATTTATTTGCCGAACTGTGAAGTACAGTTTCAAAGCTTATAGCATATGAAGTTTCTGGGAAAACTTCATCTGATAGGCGACATGACAAAAGACAGGAGGACATTGCGCAGGATCGTGACCTGGAATAAGAAAACAACCTGTGTTTGTACATTTAATAAATAGAAAAAATAATATATATATATATATATATATATATATATATATATATATATATATATATATATATATATATATATATAAAATATAATTTACTTTATCTTTTTTTGTGTTTTTTTCCATTCGTAATTGAGTTCAGGAAACAGTGGTGCATAAAGAGTCTTGGTCGGAGATGAAAGTCTTTATAAAGCAGTGAATTTGGCTGTCAGCAAATATTCACTGCATGCGCATTGCTGTAATTTAAAACTCCTGCATTAGGAGGATGCACCTGCAGTGACTGTTCAGTGAATAACATTCAATGCTTTATAAATCAACCCTCAGGCTTCCCTGACAAAATATAACAAAGTACCCAGCAAGAGAAGAAGCTGATCACTCCCAAATCCAGTAGGTAGTATTTTGAAACTTTGAAGTTGTGTTTTTGACATAAAACATGTTTTTGGCTCCTTGCATTTTTTTTTAGTTTAGTTTGGCATAAATGTATTTATGTAGCTACAGAATTTATTGTGCCCTCATTCTTCTACATTGGGAACATAAAAAAAGTATAGGTACTTTTCCACCACCAACACTGCTAAACCCCACATTGTTGATAAAGTGTTCCTCAAGGTTTGCTGTCAAATTAGCACTTCCAGGGTGCCTATCGCCTGGGTCTCTCCTACTGACCTTTTACATCACTACTGCATCCTGTAATGGTGTACAGGGCAACAGGAGGAACCTATGAAAGGGGGGTCAGAATATCTATATCTTTGAAGTTTCCTAGCTGAGGACCGTTCATCAGCCACTGAGCAGCAGTTGGTAGGAAAGGGAAGTACAGATGGACCTTTTCTTGAAAACTAGCGTAGCGACAGGGTTGCTTGAATGAACACATGTATAAATTGACTAACCATGTCTATAATCTCTCTATAGGCTTACCCAGAGTACCTAATAACGTATCAAATTGTGAAGCCTGACACTGCAGCAGAAGGATAGGCACAAAACCCTGGAGCACCCGGACTTATATGTGGAACCAGAATGTTTGTGATGGCCAATCAGACTTTAAGAGACAATGTGAATACATTGTGATATTTCAGAGACTAAAGCTTTAAAATGTTTAGTGTATTTCCTGAGCATTCACAAAATACTTTATCAGCACTTTAACAGACACCATTCTTGATATAAAAATGGGTTTGTCTATATTTAACTCTACACAAAGAAACCTATTTCGTTAACTTGAATTTTAAATCTTGTCTTTTCTTTTCCTTTTTTTGTTTTAATACAACACATTTTAGGCAACTAACTGCATTCGTTATAATTCCTGTAAAAAAAAAAAATGGTAAACTCACATTACTGAGACTGTGTCTTTTAAAACACAGATATTTACACTGAATACAGTTAGTTTGTAAAACTGTAAATAAGAGCTTTTGTACTGGCCTGGTATTTATTTACATTGCTTTGTAATATAGTCTTTTAAAATGGCGACCTTGTACAATAGAGAAATGTGTATGTAATTTTATGGGATTGAAGCTTTGAGATGTTCTTTGTGTACCACATGCTGGCCATAATGTATAAAGTACAAGGGCAAATTCATTAATTTCAGATAAGACTTGGCCTTGGCG